AATGTGAAATATCTATTTTTTAGAAATAATTTTTTTTTCTAAAACATGAATTATACTAAAACAGAAAAAGTATGCAACTAACCATATTTGAAATATTTAGTAAAAACGCTACTCAAATAATATCTATTATTATTTTGCAATTAAAAGTGACTTATATTTTGCTTAGTAACTAACCATATTTGATATTTATGATTATGGTTAATAATTTACCCTAATTTTATATCTTCTGATTGATAATATTTATGTGTAGAATCACTAATTGTTCTTGTCTCTGAATTTAATTGGTAAGAACTAATCAAGAGAGGAAGCAAATTTAATTGTAGTTCTTTGGAATATAATCATTTTGAGTGAATAAATTAGTGACATAATATATGTTAATTACCATTTATATCAAGTTTGGCCATTATCACAATGACATGAATGTGATTTTATATCTATTATAGGAAACATAATAATGTATTATAAGAATCATAATGTATAATAGAAATCATAATGACATAATTTATGATAATTACCATTTATGTCAAGTTTGGCCATTATCATAATGACATGATTGTGATTTCATATGTATTATAGGTAACAATAATCATTTAGATTTTTTCAATATAAAAATATGTTCCAAAGTGATTTTTTATATGTATATATATATATATATATATATAACATGATAAAGATAACATATAGTTTGATATACATTTATTTACATGTCAATAATATTTTTACTGGAATTTGCATTATAATAAAAATTTGATTAATATCATTTGTCAAATACGATAACTACAGAAAATATTTATTCAACATTCAAAATTATATTATAAAATTATATATAATCGATAATTATATAAATCAATGATTAATATTATATTTTAAAATTAAAAAATACGTCAATTTGAAAATTACGTGATTGACATACTTAAAATACGTGATTGACTTACTTAATGTAACTCATAATATTAATTTTGTGTATAAAGGTTGGTGGTGTGGTTTAAATTCTTTTTAATCTCATACTTATAACTTTCCTGATTCTAAAGATTTCCAAATTAATTGTATGAAGGGGGAAATCATACTTTCCGTAATTTAAAGTTGTACAAAGGTTGATATATGTGATTCATTGTATTTTTTCATCAAGACAACATTTATTCACAAGTATTTAGTAATTCAATTTTTTTAAAATAATATAAATATTATATTTTCTATTTATAAATATGTATTTTTTCACCATTACTTACTTATATTATAAAGTTACATATTTGACTAATACCATTATCAAATACGATAACAACATTCATTATTATATTTTAATATGTAATGTAATATGTAATGTAACTTTATATTCACCATTACTTACTTATATTATAAAGTTACATATTTGACTAATACCATTATCACATACGATAACAACAAATTGTCTTTCATTCAATATTCGAAATATATTATAAAGTTACATTACATATCGATCTCTATTGTGCGGGTCATATTAAAATATAATAATGAATGTATATTATATAAATTTTATAATAATGAAGATAACCCGGGTGTAGTGAATGTTTATAAAAAGAATGATGAATGTTTAATAGCATTGTCAAATACGTAATAAAGTAATGTTCGAATATTCACTAATAAAAAATATTTAGAGGTATATGATGAATAAAATGAAAGTATATAGGTTTGTCTTCAATGGCATGAAATGTAATATCTCTAGTTAAGAAAGGGTTATTCCAAAAAGGCAATGAGGTGAATTGTGGTGATGCCACATAAGTAATGGCATAATGGTTAATAATACATGAACAAAAGGTTTAATGTTAAAAGTTCTCCTCAAATAATAAGAAAGGGATAGGTTTCTCTTGACAACCCTAAATCAAAATACGTTTATGGTGAGTTAATATATAAAGATATTTTATATAAATATATTTCACTTGCCGCTTAATGTAGAATATTTGAGAGAATCTGAAAACAATTTTATTTATTTATTAGCATCACTTGTAATGACCGACACTATATTAGAATTAGTTGTTAGAAGTGATACAAATATGTATTTATTAGCATCACTTGTCATTATCCGACACTAGATTAGCATTAGTTGTTAAAAATGATACAAATATGTATTTATTAGCATCACTTGTAATGACCCGATGCTAAAGAATTTACAGTGACATCACTTACTAAAACTGATGTAAAACTGTATAAATGACATTACTTAGTTTTAAGTAATTCTAATTTGTGGCAATAAATTTTGTGATACAATATAAGTGATGCTACAGACCCCCTTTTTTTGTAGTGATCTATTTTGATAATTTTTTGATGAGCTTGAGACAAATTATTAGAGACAAATTTTGACCACTTTTTTCTAACTGTTATAGTTATTGTGATATCAATTATGGAAAGTATTGTTCACCAAGATTTACTTGTACTTATTCTCCAAGATTAACCCTCATCTTGTATCCCTATATAAGGAATTCATTATTCATGGAATAAGACACATCAATTCCTTCTTCTCTCTTCTATACTTACAACACGTTATCAACACGAATCTCTACCAAGCTAATAGGTATAGAGTTTTGATATACCATGATTTTGACCCACTTTAAGCCATGGTATTGATATCTTTTTATGAATTTTATATATGTTTTGGCGTCTATTAGGCCTTTTGGAGTAAAGTGATGATTTGGGTGCCCTTTTGGAGCTTAAAGGAGAATTTTCCGAGATGACTATGAAGATCAGACAACAATGATACATATCGATCGATACACACCCTGTGTAATCGATCGATGATGCTTCTATTGAAGATGAAGTCGAGATACTCCATCGATCGATGTACACCATGTACCATCGATCGATGTACACCATGTACCATCGATCGATATGATGCGTGGAGTCCAACTTGGCCGACTTGAAGCCCAAGTCTTCCCAATATTACAATAATACCTCTGACGAGTTTTTATCCTAATGGAACTCATATTTATAGTCTTTTCCATTGTTTTTGGCTAGACATGCTTTTTGAATGTTTCTATTGTTCTAGTTCCTTTTGTACTTGAAAATCTTTGCATATTTTTCTTGTTCCTTTGTTCTATTCTATACCTAGCAATAAAGTATTTCTTTTCATCTTAATTTCTTAAAGGTTATAGAATTCTAGATTTAGAAGAAACACACAAAGAGATTTGTTGTTCCAAGAAGCAAAAATCCAATCTTCTAATCTATGAGTTTCTATTACTACCTTGCTGTTATGAATCTCTCAGCTATGTCTGAGTAGATTTCTTTGTTAGATTTAGGGTTCAAATAGGTATGAGGAATTAGCCCCAACTATGGAATGTTGAATTGTTGATATTCATTATCCAAATGAACCCTAATGCTTACTCTAGATTAGCTACCAAGAGTATGATCATGGATGTGATTTAACTTGTTAATCATTGTCCTGAAATCATTTGGCATGAGCTTAGATCCTCTAGGGTTGTGCGAGAGCCGGTCTATGATCTTGGTGAACACAGTTTTGATTCGATATTATGCTATATCGATCGATACTCCTATAGAGTTATCGATCGACGACAACCTATATCGTCCAATTTGGCGATCGTACCATCGGTCGATATTGCTAGCAATAAGATCAATGGATGTGTCTATTTAGCGATTGCTATAAGATCTGTTTAAGAATCAAAGTTCTCATATATCTTGCAAGAAATTCATTAAAACATCTATAGCATTATAATCCTGATTATCTGAATAGCAACTTTGAATCTAACTACTTTCTTTTATTGTTTTAAACCTAAACCTATTCTCTTAAGCAACTTATCTTTGCTTACAAAACTGCAATTTACTATTTTAAACCTAATCAACCTAGCATAATCATTTAGGATTACATCTATTGTGTTGCTTAGTTCCCTGTGGATTCGATCCCTAAGTATTACAACTGAACCTCTTATTTGAGAGAGTAATTCACTTCTTAGGGTTAAACATTTGAGTGATATCAATTTTTTTTATAGTTTTAGTCTATTTCTAATCCTTCTTCAAAATATGTTTATTATCAATTCATGGTTTGTAAGAATAGATTCATACACATAATGAGCTTGAGTGCTTTAGTCAACAATACTGATTTGGCCTTGTTCCAAGGAAAGAAAATCATTTGATCAGAGATCTTGTTGACGTTGATAAGCTAATGCTCAGTTTTATTATAGTTTTATGCTAATATGTGCTTTCTTTTTAAACATGTGTTGCTTCATATTTTATTATTTGATGTCCTTACATCACCTTAGTATACATGTTTATTGCTTTATTACTTTTGTTAATATTGCATTCATTCGTAAAACTAAAACTACACATGTCACATTCAAAATTATTATTACTTACCACCCTTGCAACTGCATCACAAAATTTTGAATTAGTATTACTCATTATTCAGCATAGTCAAAGTTTACAGTTTCATATTGACAATTTTATTTTTCATACGGCAGCTTATGGTTTAATGATAGATATTTAAAAGGGAATTATGCTAATATAGAACAGAAAAATAGACCTCTTGTCCCCTTAGTATAAACCAACATTAATCTTGTCCTTATAGTATAATTATTTCTATAATCCCAAAACTAACCCTATACTAATTATAATTAAACACAATTTATAATCAAAATAAAGTAATCAATTAAAAAAATAAAAAGAATAATAAAAAAGGAACAAAATCCCCTTCTTCTTTTTCCCGTAAACCCTAATTTCTGTTTTAATCGATTTTCTCTCTCTCTCTCCCTCTCTCTCTCTCTCTCTCTCTCTCTCTCTCTCTCTCTCTCTCTCTCTCTCTCTCTCTCTCTCTCTCTCTCAACAAAACACTTCTCCAATGGGTGATTGTGTCTTCTTCGGTGGGCGATTGTGTCTTTGATGAGAAAACCTTCGGCGATTGTGTCTTCTGCGCCTCCAGCTCCGCCTCTCTGCTTCTATCCACCTTTCCGCCTCTATCCGATTCTCTCCGGTGGGAGATTGTTGTTGATTTTGTTCATAAAGGTGCTTTGATAGCAATGGCCTTGGTGATGGTTCAAATTAGTGAAGGAAGCAATTCTCGTGTTGGAGCATTTAGGTTAGTACACATCTATTCTCTTCAGCATTTGGGAGGTTGAAATTTTTTTTTTAGAGACTGATAATTTATATTATGATCTGTAGGCGCCAACTTGAGAAGATCATAATCGACAAGCACGAAGACACAATGAGCAAGATGGGAGCAATTCTAGCCTTTGGTATCCTCGATGCAGGTGGTATGATCGTTACTATAAGATTGCTCTCTAAGACCAAACATGACAAAGTAACTGCTGTTATTGGCCTCAACTGGCTGAACATGACAAAGTAACTGCTGTTATTGGCCTCACTGTCTTCAGCCAGTTTTGGTATTGGTACCCTCTGATCTATTTCATCAGCTTGGCCTTCTCACCGGCCACCTTCATTGGTTCAAACTACGACCTTATGATCCCAAAGTTTGAGTTCATGTCACATGCAAAACCGTCTTTGTTTGAGTACCAAAAACCCACCACGGTTCCCACATCCAATATAGCTGCTTAACTTCCAACCGTTGTTCTCTCAACCTAAGTTAAAGCCAAAGCTAGGGCTAAGAAAGAAGCAGAGCAGAAAGCTAATGCTGAAAAAGCATCAGGTGCTGAGAAGTCTGTCAGTGAAAGTGGATCTGGTAAGGAAAAGAATCAGCTGAAAAAGAAGGAGACTCTATGCAGGTATGTTGCCTCTTCTAGATAAAGCATGAGTCTTTATCTTGTTTGGAATGTGACTTAAATTCTTGTCTCCATGATCAGGTGGATAGCACAACAACGGTTGAGAAGAAAGCTGTAGAGCCAGAGGCTGCGTTTGAGATTCTAGTAAACCCAGCTCAAGTAGTCCCGGCTCAAGAGAAGTGCATTAAGCTACTTGAAGATAGCAGATACGTGCCAGTGAAGCTAGCTCCAGCAGGTTTTGTTATTCTCAAGGAATTGCGTGAACACGAGCCAGAGGTTCTCTCTCTGACCGATGCACCAACAACTTCAACAGCTTCTCCTGCAACTGGTGCAGCGGTGGCTACACAAGGAACAACAGCCTCGGCTATGGCTGTAGATGACAAGCCACAACCTCCACAAGCCTTTGAATACGCTTCATGATTTTACTTTTCGTTCAAAATTAGTTGGAATTTCTTGTTGGTTCTTTTCAAAGACAAGCAGCGAAAAAAGAATTTCTTTGAACTTTTTGATGCTGCTTTTTGTCATCTGGAACTGGATTCAAGTTCAGCTACTATCTTGTGTTACTTCTGTTTTAGTTACTGTTTATTTAATTTTCAACACATATGTGTCATTTTGTTTTCATATGTAGCTTATATTACCAAACACTTTGCAGATGAAGAAAATTTATTACTCAGAAAGATGCAAAAAGACATGATTACATAAACCCTAATGCAAGAAAATGCCTTGTGTAACAATAGAGACTAGGTTGGATGAAGAAGCTAGGCTTTTGGAGTAACAATGGAGACACAGAGGGATTTTTTTACGTGAGAATTCGGTTTCCCACGGTTAAGGAAACTGTGATTATTAACAAATCTTGTTAGAATATTTTCCAAAATAATTTCCAAAATTTTCGGATTTTGTTTTATCTTATCCGTAGAAGATACATTCTACAGAGAGTAGAAATACTAACGTGTCACTATAAGCAAATTCTACTATTAGTAGACGTTTGAGTTATGTGTAGATTACGTATTCTGAGATTTGTAGAAGTGGTTTAAAATGTAGAACCCGCATTAAGTTATTTTGTAGAATTCTATATAAACGTAGAATATAGATTCTAAAAGATGTACAGTTCTATATAAACGTAGAATATATGTTCTAAAAAATGTAGAGTTTAAATGTGGAATATGAGTTCTACTATGCGATTTTTCGTAGAATATGAATTCTACTCTCCGTAGAACGTAATTAAAATTTTTAATTTACCAAAAAAATAAATATCAGTTTGTGTATATAGGCATTTAATCACTTCTTTGTATTTTTAAATATTTTTTCGAGTCATATAACTATTTATTTTATTAATTTTTAGAAATTGAAAGGATAAAAGGGAGCAAAAATGGACAAAAAATATTTTATACTACAGGGACAAGAGGTCTTTTTTTTTGTTTTATATTAGCATAATTCCCTATTTAAAAAGCATATTAGTTTATTAACATATGAGTTTTACGGCTGCATGTTAACAGTTATTATTCTTTTAGGGTTTGCGAATGTTTTAGTTTGACGGCTGCACATATATAATTATTATTGGTATATGATAATTAATAAGAACTTCTTAACTTTTGTTTTAAAAGGCATCAATCATATAGATATGATATTACCACACACGTTAAATTATTATTACTGTTGTTCATGTATTACGGCTGTATATAGTATTATAATTCTCATAAATTAATTAAGTTGGTTTCATTTAACTTTATGGCTGCATCCACACTTCTGTATATAGTATTATAATTCTTATAAATTAGTTAAGTTCTCTTTGGACTCCTTACGACTGCATCACAATTGTTTGCATATAGTTTGTATATTGATAATCACATAAATGCATATAATTATTAATATCACATAGGTCCAACGTTTGAATACTAGTATAAAGCTACATATAATTTACGGCTGCATATAGACATACTTTGTTTACAGCTGTGTATTGTTCAATGCTTAAGATTACATTATTGATCTTCTAAATTTTAAGGGCTGTTAGATTGGTAATTCAATTCTTTGTTGTTTTCTTTTTAATGATGAAAAGTTTATGCATTGAACCTAAAATAGATATTGCCTTATAAAATATATACGTATATATGTCTATATAGTTTATTATTTATTTTATTAAAGATGATTGCACTTTCCTTATTTTATTTGTAAAATTTGATTATTATTTTATTGTTTCAGTGAATTATGTCAAAGTTTACTAGTCTTGAATTTGAAGTTTTTGATATCACTAGAGAAAACTATTTGGCTTGGGCATTAGATGCCGAATTTTCCCTTAGTGTAAAGGGACTTGAAGCTACTATCCTAGAAGGAAATGAAGCTTAAAGCCAAGATAAAGCTAAGGCTATGATACTCCTTCGTCATCACCTCCACGTAGGTCTCAAGAATGAGTACTTGACGGTGAAAAATCCACAAATTTTGTGGAACAACTTGAAGGAAAGGTAAGACCACCAGAAAACTGTGATCATACCTAAAGCTCGTTATGAATGGTCACATCTGAGATTACAAGACTTCAAGTCTGTAAGTGATTACAACTCAGCCTTGTTCAAAATTACCTCCAAGTTGGAGTTATGTGGAGAGAAAATCACGGAAGCTGATAATTTAGAGAAGTCATTCTCTACTTTTCATGCAAATAATGTTGTCCTACAGACACAATACCGTGAAAAGGGATTCTAAAAGTATTCCCAGCTTATATATTGTCTCCTTGTGGCTGAGCAAAACAATGAGCTTTTGATGAAAAATCATGAACTACGTCCAACTGGTTCTGCTCCATTCCCTGAAACGAATGTGACTGAACAGAACAACTCTGACCGCATAAATGGTTACCCTCGTGGTCGCGGTCGTGGTCGTGGACATGGTCGTGGATATACACGTGGTCGTGGATATGGTCAACTTTGAGGTCGAGGAGTTTCTTTTAAGAACCCTAACTTTCACCAGAAGTGGGAAAAGAAAGATGGTCACAAACAAACAAATGAATGTTCCAGATGTGGAAGTAAAGACCACTGGCTTCGTACATGCCGTACACCAAAGCATCTTGTTGAACTGTATCAACAATCAAAGAAACAAAAGGGAAAGAATGTGGAAACAAAAATGGTGTATGAAGGTGGAGAAGGTGACTTTGATATTGGTGATGCCACTCACCTTGACCTTTCCGATTTTCTCATTGACGACGAGAAAAACTGATTGAGCAATAATAATTAAAAGATGCTTTGTTTTTATTTATTTACTAGTTCTTAGTTATTGGCTTTTGGTTTTTATTTACTATGGTGTTGTTTCTTTTGCATCAATGAATTTCATCTATTTTAATTTTATAAGAGATTATAATTTATTTTCTTTATTTATTTATGTTAGAAATGGATGGTGGAGATTTATGCTTGGCAGACAGTGCAACTAGTCAAACAATTCTGAAAAATAAGAAATATTTCTCTCATTTGATAAATAGAGAAGCAAGTGTGAGCGCTATAACAGGAAGTGCAAAGATAATCGAAAGCTCTGGAAGAGCAAATATAATACTTCCTATGGGAGCACAAATTGAAATAGTTGATGCATTGTATTCCCCTAAGTCTCAAAGAAATTTATTGAGTTTCAAAGATATTCGCAGAAATGGATATCATATTGAGACAATGAATGAAGGAAATATTAAATTTCTTCATATCACAAGTATTTTTCATGGCTCTAAGAAAGTGATAGAAAGACTACCAGCATTCTCCACTGGATTATATTACACTAAGATTAATACAATTGAGGCAAATGCCATAGTAAACCAGAAGTTTACTGAAAATATTACTGTTTGGCATGATCGGTTAGGATATCCTGGTTCAACAATGATGTGAAAGATAATTAAAAATTCATGTGGGCACCCACTGAAGAACCATAAGATGCTTCCTAATTATTATTCATGTGCTGCTTGTTCACAAGGTAAATTGATCATAAGGCCTTCACCAGCCAAGATAATTTATGAATCAATCAATTTTCTGGAACGTATTCAAGGAGACATTTGTGGTCCAATTCACACACCTTGTGGAACCTTTCGATATTTTATGGTCCTTATTGATGCATCAACAAGATTGTCACATGTTTCCTTGCTATCAACTCGAACAAATATGGTCACAAATATGTATTTATTAGCATCACTTGTCATTACCCGACACTAGATTAACATTAGTTGTTAAAAATGATAGAAATATGTATTTATTATCATCACTTGTAATGACCCGACACTAAAGAATTTACAGTGACATCACTTACTAAAACTGATGTAAAACTGTATAATTGACATTACTTAGTTGTAAGTAATTCTAATTTGTGTCAATAAACTTTGTGATACAATATAAGTGATGCTACAGACCCCATTTTTTGTAGTGATCTATTTTGATAATTTTTTGACGAGCTTGAGACAAATTATTAGCGACAAATTTTGACCACTTTTTTCTAACAACATTCTGACCATCTATTATTATTTTTAATTATTAAAAAAACTAAACTGTATTTGATATAACTAAATAACTGAATCAAATATATTTTGTAATTTAAAACTAAATAATTAACATCAAAATAGTTTTAGCATAATACTTAAACAAATCTGAAAACATCTTTGTTTCTTGCAGTTAACAAACAATGTTACAATTGGTCATTACTAAAGTTTTAACCACAAAATGAAAAGATAATAACTAATACATAATTTCTTTTGAGTGGTTTTTGTACCGAGTTCGGTCGTGTGATCCGAAACCTGACTGAAAGACGGCGGTATAGATTAGGGCAAATAGTTTGATTTATCTCGTTGTCATAATCAAACCCAGACGTTCTCCCGGTAAAGCTCCCGAGCACCACACTTGTGAAAGGAAGACGACAGACTCGTGCAGAGATGGCAAGCTTGTGACGAGATGTTCCTTGCTGCTGAGATGGAGCGTGATAAACTTCTTCCCAAAATGTGTGAATGAATACCTGTACAGGCTGCATCACCCAATCTTGCTCCGTATCAGCATAGAAAACATCTCCTTGCACTGATCGAAAGAAACAACAAGACTTCTTCGCAACGCTTCTTCTCAACAACACTCTGTCGTACTTGTAATCGAACTTAGGGCTCCGGATCACGAGAACTCGATCCAACAGCGCAGTGCCAACGAAGAACGTGTGTCTCGCAAGGCATATCAAGTGGTTTCTCAACGACCTTCCAAGACTTCGCGGGCGGGCAGAAGCTGAGTAGCTCTCTTGGCACATGCTTCAATCGAAGTATCGATCTTTGTAAGACCGGTCTTCTCCCCATCGTGGCAGATGCCTCATCAGCACCTCTTGAACCAAAAACGGACTCAAGCTTAGTTACCAAGCTTGGAAAATCTCAAGTCTTTATCTCAGCATCCCTTGTTCTCATTGTCAAACTGAAGAAGTGAGTGAATATAGAG